AAACCACCAGTCATGTAAACAGTTTTGATGTCCATTTCATCCTTTTGAAATTTGTATTACCTCATGCAGAACTCAGAGTTTTCTCCTTGGTATGTCTACTGTCCTCTTCCTCCTCCTTCAGATATCTTCAAGGCAGGTTTGAGTTCAATATCTCTCTAATAGCTTTTTATACTTGTTTTTCTCAGATGTCTACTCATGTGATCAAATAGTGTTGTTGGTGAAATTATATTTGGTAGTTTACTTTTAAATACTAGTGTTTGCTGAGAAACCTCAAAAGATAAAGCCAGCGCTTCAAGAGTTAATATGTTATTAGGAGGACAGGAAATGTGGTAACTATTGCAGAAACTAGACCTAATGGTGCACACAAACAATTTGTCAGTCTTGGTAAATGTGAATAACTTTCCGCAAAGTGGCTGCTGTTGCTTTGTTTGAACAGCCTGAACTTTTTCTTTTTGGACTTTAAATCTTAGAAGTGAAATGTGATACACATATTGAATCAAAATCATTTAATTCAAAACATATTTTGATTGGAACAAGGTTGACTTGGAAAGAAACTCTAGAATAAAAAAAAAAGTTGAAAGGACTTTCTATCATATATTTAGCAGGAAAATTTGAAACAGTTCTAATTAGGCTGAGAAAACCAGCCTCCTTCATTGTAACTTACAAAGGTCATATATCAGCGTTAAGGCAACATTACCAACTAGTGTCTGAAAGCCTGCACATGCAAACATAATTCCAGTTGTTTGGTTTTGCTGGTTTTGATTTTTTTTTTTAAATGTACATGCATGCACATACTTCGAAGCCACAATACGTACTTAGTTTAAACTAGTTACCTGGCACTGCTTTGTTGTGTTCAAGAAGAGCATTTTTCACATCAAAATTGTGTTTGTGCTAAAAATGTGTGAAATCCGAATGAATGCTTTTCTGTTCATACATAAATATTTTTTAAACGAAACAAAAAAAAAGAGACTCAATAATTTTAGGTGTTTCAAACGAAATTCCTTTCTTCAGAGAGGAATGAAAATTTTTACCCCATTAAAAGTAATAGGCAATTATTTGTACTGAGATTTCTAATTTCTTACTTGCTGATGTTGTGTATTCCTGGGTATTTTTATATTTTTAATTGAATAGGAAAGATTATTCACGTATAAGAAGCAGTTTTTGTTTCTCATCAAAGTCTCTACTTTCATTTTAATTGTATAAAACACATTTTGTATAGATTGGACTTCTTTTCATGTCTTTCAAATAAGTGTTACATGTATGCTTTATGCTGTGCTTCAAGATTGCTTTAATCAGCATAGGAATAGGGAAAGCAAATCTGTGGTCTATTTCTGAATAGCTTGATTATGAATAAATATCTATGCTGGTGCAAAGAAATACAGTTAGTCTTTTCATCTGATTTCAGCATTGGAACATCTCAATCTCAAACAGAGTGTATATTCATTTTTAATAGACATAATTCCATATGCTATATGTCATTACATGATCTAAACCAGGAAGAAACGTAGAGGGCAAAAGCCAGTAGTAGTCACTTTAAAGGTACAAATCTTGATTCCAAGGATAGAATATTGTCTGGGAAAATATATCATAATAAGTGGTTAGAATACTTATACTGGAAGAAGCAAAAATCTTTCCTAACCTGCTAGTTTCATGTTTTTGTCATTCCGACTGTGTTTTACCAATCATTGTATCAGTATTAGACTGATATTAGTGTTCGGTTGCTAGCAGGAAATTACCCTCTGTTCATTCCTTTCAGAAAACAGGGCAGAAAAAAATGCACATAAAATACTAATTTCAGAGTCATTCATGAAGAAGTAGTTTTGATTGCACATATTTAGTGACATCATATTGTGCATTTGAAAAATATTTATGAATAAAGGAAAATATCCTTGTAAGATCCAATTGTCAATTTGTTGATGTGTGTGAAGCGGAATGGAGGAATGAAAGTTACTAATAGGTGTTTGTGTTTGACATCTGTATATTGTACTTTATAGCATATCTCAAGTGTTTTAGTCACTGCCTAACAGATCTCGTTAAAGAAACAGATATCAGCCCCAAGACAGCTTGTCAAAGTTAACATGAGTCCCTGTGGGCGGAATTGACAATTTGTGTGTGGCTTCACGTGACGGTCTTTTCATGGTCTTGTCTGATCCTTTAACAATTGGGCGTTAGTCACTGATTTATTTTAGGATAACTCAATAGGATTGAGTATTACTGTATTATGCTGGACATTTTAGAGGATTTTCTTGTTTTGCACATTTTCCTCAGAGCACGCAGTAAAGGACGTACTCAGTCTGCTCTGGGAGCGCTAACAATTGATTGGTTTGCTTTAAGAGCAGTGTGGGAAGGATGTTAGTATCCTGTTGCTGCATGACGTATTTAACTTGGGCCTTAATAAGCACTGCCTGTCCTGGATGCTGAAGTAATTCTACCTGCTTAGCCATCAATAACCCTTGGTTTTGTTTTGCAAGAGGTAAATGCTAATAGTAACATTTGTTTTAAAAAATCCTGCTTTTAAAAACTAGATAATTATGCAAATTGAGACTTCTTCACTTCTCAGATTTTTTTTTTTTTTTTTTTTAAGGAGTACCCATACTTAAATAGTATGTACCAATGTGGCTATAAAGTGTATCACGTGTACTGGTACATTGTGTTCTTTTCCTTGAAAGTCTACTTTATTTTTTAATCGTTATACAGACTGTTAACTATTGTTTCTCCATCAGTTGTGTCATAGCATAAGCACTTCCCTCCAGCCAAGAGCCTAACTGTGAACCTGAAATAACAGGCAAACTCATTTGGCCTTTGAATTTGTGTGCTCTATTTGGTCTGGCCTTCAGGGTCCTGGGTATTTATGCTGACTGTAGTAATTTTTCCTTTACCCCTTTTATTTGTGATCTGGCAAATGAGAAGATTTAAACTGGCCTAATTGGGGAGGGGGGGGAATACAATTGCCTACTGTTGAATCTGTATAAATTGTAGGTGTAAAATAATTTTAGACTTGAAAAAGTAAGTTCAGGGTGGCTCCCAACCAGTCCACGAAAAGGCAAAGAGTGTGTTTTAGTTTTGCTCTGTTAAGAAAAAGTCACATTTATGTATCTGTTAATCTGAGCAGATTGCAGGGTGATATTTCTTTAGTTAGTCATGTCCAAATGCTTTGTGAGGGTAGTGTGACCCATTACAAATCTAGTTTTTGAAGAGAAGGAAAATATGAACAGCGTCTGCACGTACTGATAATATGGATATATAAAAAAATCACAAGTTCTTAATACTATTTTTCCTGACATTAAATTGTTACAATGATAACAGTGAGTGTATTCTAGGGTTAATTTTTTTAGCAGGATAGCAAGAAAATTAATTCCTATCATTGTCATTTGCTGAGCCCTGTAGAATTTTATGGCTGCACATTGTAGTATTATGGACACTCATGAGACTCCTGACTGGTTTTATCTTATTAAACAATTTTGAAATCATTAATTTTTAATTGGCACGCTTGTGGGTTTTAATAGTTTTAATTGTGTGTCTGTGTCTAAATGTTGGCATTTTCTTAGTTTAAAAAAAAAAAAGAAAGAAAAAATCCTGCCTAAGCTTATATGTTGTAAGGTGTTTGCATATGATCATCTAAGGAGATACTATGCTGTGTGGTAATTCATTTTAAACAATGCTTTCAGCAATTTAGTAGCTGAGAATCCTAATAAAAATAATAATGAAAAAAAGAATGATATGGTGTCGAAGATATGTACAGGCCTTTTCTTGATTGAAAGTTCTAATTAAGTGAATCGAGGAAAATTAACTGAAATTAGCTGTCAGAAAGTCACATTTAAATGAGTGATGATCTGGTGTGGCAGTAAACATTTAAAGGATATAAATTGCCGTTTAAGTGTATGGTTTAATGTTTGTCATGCATTAATATGACACGAGACTGCAGTGACAATCAAGCAGCTTGCTCTAATTTGAACATATTTAGGGCTTTTGTGTGGAGTGCATCACACAAATTAAGACAATTGCTGTTTTTATGTGTCAATTTAAATGTTGTTTTCAGGCACCAGTTAATGAAACAAACCCATCATTTTTGTGTGCAAATTGCAGAGTGATTTCCTTAATTTTCAGATTAATTTTAACTTCCTCTGCTCAAAATTAGGAATTTCCTTTAGAAGGAAAATGCCATTCATTTCGTTAGGTGAAGAGAATATCAGACTTTGTTATATTGTTTCATTTGCTCATTCAAATAAGAAATGTATTGAATCCTCTGTATAAAATAGAGAAAGCAAATCCTGCTAGTGATTTAATCTAGATGAATTAACTCTTTAGATGACAATGATTTTTAAGTTACCTTTTATTAGATTTGTGCTGTATCTAATACCATTATGGAGAGATTCGTTGTCGTTTGGATGCTATTGTCTTGGGGATTGGGTTTTAACTGGATAACATCTTCAGAAAAAAAAAGTGGCTTAATCATTCAGCATAGTACTGTTTCTGTATATGTTTGTATAAGAGGTACATACAAGAAATGCATGAAAGTAATAGCAAGTTGGTATTCCAGTGTGTTAAATAATTTGTACCCTAACATCCCTAATTAGTTCAGTTTTCCCAAGTCTATCAATCTTCTCTCTGTCTGTCAGAATCAGATGATCGTGCTGTTGTTATTCACTGTACACATCACACAGAAAAGCACAATTTAATCTTGAGAGTTCATAAAAACATAACCCGGCTGTCCATAAATGCATAAATGCTTTCGACTTAATGCTTTTTCCTTATTCCCACTATTGCAGTTTAAAAAGCAAGTCTTCTGGTCAATGGGAAGTAGAATAGGGCATGAGAGACTGGCATCTATCACAGGGCCCACCTTTTTTTTTGATAGAAAGTCTGAAATACTGGTCTCATTTCTGTACTTAGATTTCTAAGATAATTTTGTAGGCTGTTCAAAAAACAGTTCTACAACTATTAAATTATGACTATCTGACAAACTCAAGTTTATATATTTTGTGTGTGGTTTTTTACAGGCATTAGAAAGTGAGTTTGTTTCTTGCCAGCTGCACCAGTGGATTGATTTGATTTTTGGCTACAAACAGCAAGGACCAGAGGCTGTTAGATCCCTGAATGTATTCTACTATTTGACTTACGAAGGAGCTGTTAATTTAAGTTCGATAACGGATCCCATATTGAGAGAGGTAAGTTTGTACTTCAGATATATGAAAGGAAGATCTTTAACCACTGCAGTGTTGAAAGTGTGAAGACTCCATGTTGTTCAGTGCTACCGGTGAATGCTCAAATCTTTGTGCTCTCTTGTGGTTTGGCAGCAGGCCAGTCAAATGCAAGGTGCTTGAATCACTCGTCACAGCATGCAAAATTAAGAGAACAAGCATGCAAGTTGTTCTTAAACTTTGTGCACCTGGATTTAGCACATACTGGATGCCAATATAAAACACTTCAGTTGCTGAGGGCAGTCATTTTGTTCACTAATACGGGATCATAGTGGCAGAAGACAGTGAGGAACCTTGATTTGGCTTGCACTTCTGAATAAACTTTTACGGTTTTAAGAATTCTCGCTTAATGCAATCCTGCATATGTAGTACACATCAAACACCATAGTTTTGTTGCTTCCATTAGTTTTATTTGTCTTGCTATCAAATTAATAGTAACTTGTCCTGTATTTTTCATGTACAGAAGTAAATATTTTAACATTGCAAAGATCAGTGATCTCACTCAGACCCAGCACTGTTCAGAAAAATCTATTTGATTAAGTAAATCTTTGGATATTGTGGTCTTAAAGATGCCTGCATCCTCCATCTAAACAGCTGTTAAAAAAAAAAAAAAGAGCAAGGTTGAGTGGGTGATTAAAACAGATTTTTGATTGGTTTTATGTCCTCAGTTCAGACAATACACTGGTGTCAAGTATAGCTGCAAGTATATTAATTATAGAATAAATGTAACTGCTACTTTGTTATAAAATATTCTGAGACCATTAGAACAGAGTGAACGCTAGCAACAATTTTATTTAAAATGATGGCTAGATGTATACCAACAGGGAATATATATGTGAACTGAACGAAAACAAGAATGAAGACATTTCTGCTTGCAAATAGTAGGTTTGAGGTTCACTGTGGAATTCTAGGCTAATCCTAATTGAAGTATTTGTTATTTGTTGCTTATTGAAAGAAGGTCTGAGAAGTAAACGATTATTATTTTAAATAATATTATTTTCTCTGTACGTACTGGGCATCTGACTGTTTGGGGCACCTAAACAGCCTCTGTAGAGAAAGTCACATCATAGCAAGACTGTGGGTTGTAGCTGCCTTGTGGGTGCAATGGAAAGGTTTGGGGGGTATGCATGGCATGTAGGGGTACACAAGGACTGGCTTAAGTACAAAGAATGACCACGGGATGTTCGCATTATGTGGATTGCCATCAGTCTGCAGACTGCATCTTGGTCCACTCTGAGTTAAAATATAGATGTTGCACATAAATACATTTAATTGAGCTAAGAGAAGACACTACTGGAACACTTGGCTTTTAAGAAGACACATTATCACCTGGGTTTGAAACAGGTATTGACCCAAGGGTACTAGATGATCACACTGTCATGTTTTCATTTTGTTGATAATGTTGGTCTACTGTACACTGATAAGGAAATATTCTTACCTTCTAAGAGTATTTATTAGACTCTGGAGGTGCTAGGTTTAAGTGTGAGCTGAAAAATAGACTGGGCATTGTGTGTAACTTGTGCTTAATTTTGGTTTTAAGTGAACCATTGTTTATGAAACTAATCATTGAAGGAATACTAATCAAAATAGCAGTCTGCCACACACAATTTTTATGTAGTTTTTAATTTTTCTAGAACAGTTCTATTATCAGTTTAACTGTGATCTTGTAATCTGTTCTACTTGTGTTGTAGCCTGAATAAAAGTAATTTAAGACCAGGGAAGTTACAGATCTGTCTGGAAGTGTGGATCATCTCAGAGAAGCATTCAATTTGTACTTCTATAAATATATTAATATATTTTGTTATCAAATCTTTTGAATTTGTTGTGGTTTTGTTGTGCTTCACTACAATGTTTCTTTTTTTTTGAGTTGTTCTATGCTGTCTGAACTGAGTGGCATATAAAAATGAAAATAGGAGAGGGAGAACAGCAGTGTTGTTGAGTTCATAATAATGAAGTAGCTTAACAGCAACAGAATTTCAAAACACTACTGATGGTGTCAAAAATACATGCTGATGAATGCAGGCAGCAGAATGAATGGTATCTTGTAGCACTTTCATTCTGAGTTACTTGAAGATTGGTCCAATGGAATATTTTTATTTAGCATTTTTAAGAAGGTCAGTAAAACAGTAAAAGGATTCCTGTTTAGTTAGATATCCCTTTACATGTATTTTTTAAAGCTTATTTTTATATCATGTAAATGTGTATATGTAATTTGAAACGGTACATATGATCAGCTCTGATACGATACTGACAGTGCAGAGATTTAATGACTGTCATCACCAGTAGTGAGTTATTCTGTTTTTACTTATGGGTAGAGATGAAAGTAATATAAAATCTGTTTGTGTGTATATCTATGTGCATAATCATTCTATATCTATGTGCTAAATGAATTTATCATGCACCTTTGACAGCCTCACCTTCTTCCTGCTTACTCATCCATCTCCCTGAGGACCTGCGCTAACATTCTGTACTGCCGAGCAGCTTCAATCAGCATTTATTTTTCAGTCAGCTTGCCAGAAAATATTACTTGTTTTCTCTGCCAAATTGCTGGTTAAAGGCCAGATGAATTACTGATCTGGACAATTAACAGTATTTTTAGGCAGGTGTGACACATCTGATCTAATATCTGTTTATTAAACCAGAAATTTCAGTCTGGATTTCTGGTTTCAAAAAGGATGCTTTGGGCTTTCTCCTCTCGATAAGGTTCAGGGTTTGGGTCTTTAAGTCTTGACAGCTGTAGCAGAAAATATATTTTTATCTGCAAACCTAAAACAAGGAGAAGCTTCTGTATACTCTTGAGAGCTGCAAGTTGCTGAGGCTTTTAGGTTCCGTACGGAAATAATAGCATGTGCTTACACCATGGGAATTTCTCCACATAGATGGTCTATGCTAAGCCTGGAGTACGTCAGGAATGAGACGCCTATGATGCATGTGTTTCTGAAGTATCTTCACAGGTGTATGTATGGACATTGGTGACCTAACTCATCAGGAGAGGCCACACACAGAATAATAGTGGAAGGAACTGAGGAGCAGAGGAGTTTAGGTTAATGCAGAATTTCCTTAGGTCTCCTAAATGTCTCCAACTGGCACCTTTATTTTTATAGGCAGTCGGGTTATATATATTACAAGAAGGAAGCAGTCGTCTAGGAAGGAAAGCTACTTGATTAAAACCATATTCCACCTTACTTTTTTTTAAACTGAAAATGTAGAACTTTTACATCCTCTCATACTGCTGTGAACAATTTTTTCCTGCCATTCTTTCTGCCTGTGGGAATAAAGGAAGTAAAGTATTTTGAAAGGATCTGACTGCTATAATAGAAAATTTTAAACTAAAATGCAAACCATGGGCCACATGCTACCTTTTGGCAGATAACCCTGGGGAGTGCAAAGCTTGCATAATTTGAAGACAAATCCCAGGGGGAGGGGAGTAGATCGAGAGAAGGGTTTGAGTTGCAGCCAGTGGGGGAAGGGAATTGCAACCAGGAGAAGCAAGGCAAGAGATCCAGTATATCTGCTGGAATATCTGTGCACTGCTTATCCCTGCCGAGACCAGTCCTTCAGCCTCTTTCTTCCTAGAGCCCTTTTATCAGCATTGTCATTGACTTGCATGTCTTGCTGAAGGAGGTTAGGAGGTTACAACTGCAGAGGGAAGTTGCTGTTCAGTTAACAAGCAGTAAATATCACGCTGTGGAAAATACGGTATTTGCCAGCAGAGGTATGCTATATGACTACCTTCTGGTGACTCGTTCTTGAACACCATGTTTTGATCTGTGGAACTCCTGGTCATGAGATCTGCCGTGGGAGGGCTTTTTTGTTGCCTGTACGGAAGAGGCAAAGAGTCACAGCAGCATAGATAAATGTCATCCAGCCATTCTGGAAATAATTCACAGCACCTTCTTATCACAAATTCTGTTCTCTTTTTGCAATGGCTGTCCAAGAATGGAAAAAAAAAAAGTAGAATTAGATCCAAGCCATTCAGACATGCAACTGATTAAGAGATAAATCACAATCCATAGAAAATAATTTGTATCTTGGACTGATTTATGGGTATTGTAGTGTCTTGGTCAGAAGAATAGAAATTGCCGTTGTCTCTGGTGTAGTGGAACAAAGGATGATTGTGAATTTGGGCTGCACTTAGAATTCCTAATTAGAAGTCCATTTCCCTGCTGATACCCTTGTGTAGCTAGCATAAACACTGGATAAGCATAAAGAAAAGTGATGGAGTTAATAGTGAGAAAGCATCATTGATTTACTACAGGAACCTCTGAACCTCAAGAAGCATACTAAATTTTGTACCATGCTTGTCAAAAAGCACCTAACCATATTCTTCAAATAATTTTTAAAATATCATCTGATACAATCTCTGTAAGCAGTATTTAAGGAAGACTGATGATTTTAAAATTAGCAATAATAGTTTGAAAAATATGAGAATAAGTCCCATCCAGTGAATACCCCACATACTTCATTAAGTGATTTGCTTTTAGCCTCAGATCATTCAGTTGGTTTATACTTCTTCCTCTGAAGAGAAGGTGCCTTTTTGTTGCATGAAGGTAGTCTGTCTAACATTAGGAAGCACCGTTTATTCTATCGGCACCTTTCTTTCTACTGGTAATATTTTATTTCCATATGAACTGAGGAGTTTCAAAAATTGTGAAGAATCAGCTTGGACACAGCATTTGGTATGTTATTTGAATGTGCCACTTCTGATTATATAAAGAGAGGAAATAGTTCTTTTATTTTCAGTTTTAAGGCATGTGGGATAAATTATTTTATGGGTAATAGCTTTTAAATGTTGCCTGAGATTAATATCTTTGCGTAAGTTTTATGCATCTTAGACCTATCTCTTCCGAGTTTAATTTTATTTTTAAATATTTACAATTTGAGAGACTTCTGTGCTTTCCAAAAGAAGTTACAAGGATGTTTAGTTTACATGACCCCAGTTTCATGACAGCAGTAGCAGATCTGAT